CCCTTAATCCCATTACCTTAAATAACCATTGTATAGTCCTTATAAACCCCTTATATAGCCAGGTAGTCTCCATATTAACCCCAATAACCTACAAGGGTCCCTATTAAGGGTCCCTCCTAAAGCCCCTAAATCTACCTTAGTTGGAGAACAAAATTCCCTAAGGAGCCGTGTGCCGACAGCGTATATACTTTGCCCGTGAAGGTGTTCTTTAGGATGCTCGGGTTTTCATGGGGTCTAGTTCTTTGAGGTTTTGGGATTTGGGCTGGAGGCGTTTAGGGGTATTGGGTCGAAACTATACTACTCTAGACCCTCGAACTCGAAAAACAGGCCTGCAGAGGCTGCACTGCGTCGTCCCCGGCTCAGCTGCCACAGTACCCGGCTCGCAGGAGAAGCACGTCGTCGAACCCCATGCGTTCCTTGGTTTACCGGTTAGGGCATGGGGTTTGGGTTTAGGGTTTAGGGTTTAGGGTTTAGGGTTTAGGGTTTAGGGTTTAGGGTTTAGGGTTTAGGGTTTAGGGTTTAGGGGACTTTCGCAGTATTCCTAACAAAACCCTTATATGGTCAGCTGTAAAGAGACATCGAAGGGTTTTTACAACGGTTACAAGTCTGAGGATCAGGGTTCCATTTTGAGGTTTAAGGTTTAGGGTTTAGGGGTTTAGGGTTTAGGGGGTTTAAGGTTTTTGCAAAGCTACGACATTACAACTACTATAAGGACCCTACAACCGCAAGAAAAACTCAACATGGGAAGCGATTCAAGCTCCAAAGCCTAAGTAACTTCGAAGGAACGCAGGCGGCGTAGCCCTCAAAAGAACCCTTCTAGCAACCCTTATCGGAACCATCGTCCCCTAAACCCTAAACCCTAAAACCCTAAAGCCCTAAACCCTAAACCCTAAAACCGTAAACCCTAAACCCCTAAACCCTAAAGCACCCCTAGAAGGACACCTCATAGGAGCGTAGCTTCTGATAGGATCCAACCGTGCAGTTGGAGCAGAGGAAGGTCCTCGTCTCAAACGAAGGCGCTTTCCAGACCCCCAAAAGGATCTAAAAAATAGATCCCCTAAGGGGGTTCCTATCAAGTACCCTTTAATAGTTAGGGTCCCTAATTAGGGGATCTATTTTTAGATCCTTTGGGGGTCTGGCTTTCGAGTTTGAGAGAAGGGCTTTGCGGATTAAGCCAGAAGTTTTCAGTATCTTAATCTGAAACTATATAATTACCCTAAACCCTGAACCCTAAACCCTAAATTATAATCGATTTTAGGACTGTACAGGGATAACAGAACAAAGCTATAGTTGGAACCCTCGGGCGAGTTTCTAAAAGTACTACGCATTCTTCTGGTAGGATTACAAAAGCCCCACACTGCAAGGTTCAATTCAGGGTTCAGGGTTTAGGGGTTCAACAGACCTGCAACCCCAACTATCTCTCTTTTGGAGACAAGAAAAGGTACCTCTATAATCTACATTGTAGGTCTTCTGCTTAGCCTTGTATTTCTGCGACAAAACGTTCAGGGATCAGGATCTACGGCTTTAGGGCTTTGGGTTTCGGATGTCCTCTGAAATTTCACGGATGCTCGCCCAGGTGGGCAAGTGGCACAATCCGCGGCATTGGTTGTAGAAGTGACCTCGGTATGTCTGGTGCTCGAACAAACATGTACTTGTCCTTTCCGGCTCACGAACTATACCTGACAATAAACCTGATCTCAAGACAGGTCTAGTGATCATTTCTGGTTCTTCTGAAGACTTATACTATGCCTTAACCCCAAAAGACAGAATGGATATCAACAGCAGCCTGGTTACAAAGTCACCAGCCACGTTGACCAAGCCCTTACTGACCAGGCATTCAGTCTTCGAGGGTATCCTTACTTGCCCATTCTCCGCAGGGGACAGCTGGTAATGTAGGGGTCTTATAATTAACTTATAATGGTTTGGGGTTTAGGGCTTTGGGGCCTTATAATAGTTAGACTAGGGTTTGGGGGTATAGTATACTATAACCATAAGAAGGAGCCCCCCCCCAAACCCTATTCTAATTATTAACGCCCCTCCACTACGCTTTTTTCCTACTGCCGTTCGAATAGGGAGACCCCAAAGCCAAACGGATGTAGGGGTACCCTCAACATGAAGCCCTAAGCCCAAAAAAAATGCTTTCAGAACCATACCTCTCATTCTACAAGACATGAAGTTGGACACCCTAAGTAAACCCTAAACCCCCTTAGCCCTAAGCCCTAAGCCCAAACCCCCAAACCCTAAACCCTAAATAAACCCTAAACCCAGAAGCCAAACCCCTTACCCCTAAACCCTAACCCCTAAAGCCCTAAGCCCTAAACCACCTAAACCCCCCTTAGTTGCTGAGTTCATAAGCCACAAAAAGTGAACACTTTCAGCATTTATAGTGGGTAATATTAACCCCAAAAGTGTAAAGTGTATCCACTCAGCTACTGAGCCCCTAGTTCAGCCCTATTCTGGGCTTTGAAGTAACCAATGAGAAAAAAGCATAGACTGTTGTTTCATAATGGCTCCTTTAAGGAGCAGGTCCCCAAAACAAGTATTAAAGTATGGTACTCCAAAGCCGAGTATTTCCCTTCCCAAGGATCCAAGTTGTCCATTGGTAACCCTAAACCCTAAACCCTAAACCCTAAACCCTTCCCAAGGATCCAAGTTGTCCATTGGTCTCGGGAAGCTCTAAGCCATCCGCATGCAGTTAGCCGGGGGTTGGAGCCCGACTGCACGTGCAACCGCAGCAGATCCGATAGCCGAACACCCTAAACCCTAAGCCCAATCAATACTCGGTCCTTCGAGTGACGTCGCGGGAAGCCTGTTATGATACATCGCTGTCCTTGGGGTTTAGGGTTTAGGGTTTAGGGTTTAGGGTTTAAGGTTAAGGGTTAAGGGTTTAGGGTGTAGGGCTTTAGGGTTTTGGGGTTTTAGGGTTTAGGGCTTAGGTTGAGGTTTGGAGCTTACCCTTAGCATCAACATAGCCCAAAAGCCTTATGGAACAGGGTCTCTGGGCCCCCAAAACCTGAACATGTGAGTCCTTTGAGGGTAAGGGTTAGGGTTTAAGCCTCTAAGCCCTGCAACTAAACGCCCTCTGTAACCATAAGCCCATAACGAAGATGACATATTCAGCAATCCATTGGGTTCAAACAAAACTCAACCAGCATGAAAAGGACCCCTGAACAACACCACAGACAACAATGAAGCTCTAAACTCCTGAACCTAGAACTAAACCCTAAACCCTTATCAAAGGACCAAAGGAGGGACCCTTAAAGGGACCCTTGGGGTTATATAGGGGCTTGATGAGACTATATAAGGGGTATGTAAGGGTTATATAGGGTACTTGGACTAAGGGTCCCTTCTAGGGGTCCCTCCGATTGTCCCTTAACCTAAACCTAAACCCCAAACCCTAAACCCTAAACCCTAAACTCCTGAACCCAGAACTAAACCCAAAACCCTAAACCCTAAAGAACTACCATCCAGCGGAATCCTGGAACCCTGCACACACCCTGAAGGCCCAAAAGCTCTGCTTCAAAAACCAGAGAGCCCAATACCAACTCAAATGCGGAATATGATATGGGGAGTTCTCTAAATTAGGGTTTAGGGTTTAGGGTTTAGGGGTTTAGGGTTTAGGGTTTAGGGTTTATACTAGAATATGGGTAGTTCCCCAAATTAGGGTTCCTGTTTGGGTCCCCAATAGAGTACGGCACCCTTATAAAAAGGACCCTAAGAGGGACCCTAACTTAGTGAACTACCCATATATTAAATTACAAGTGAAGGTATGCTCTTACTTGAGTGCTTTCATGGTTTCGACAAGGTTTGGGGCAAATGGCACTTAACTACAGGGTTCATAAGGGGAAACTCTCGCCAATCATTGAAAACTCTGTACCCCGTCCTTGATCTGCAGGTTTTCAATGAGACGGTAAGCACGGCGCGCAGAGGATTCCAAGCCAGAGGAAACCAATTTCAGCACTGGCTCCGTGCTCGGTTGGGTCTTGTAGATTCCCTGCCTCGCTAATATACTGTACTCGAATCTACTCTACCCCTGTATGTGCTATAAGTCTACTGTCCGATACTCTACCGTACTATCCTATACTGAAACCCTCCGCCCTAAACCCTCAGCCCTCAATCCTAAACCCTAACACCCTGAAACCTCAATACTTAACCACGAAAACCTCAACCCTCTTTTCGCTTTATTGGACCGATCGAGGTAGTTCCGGGTTTAGGCTTGAAGGCAATTCAGGGGCGGTCAATATTTGGATTGGTTGATGCAGAGCATGCTGACATGAGGCCATCCTAATCAGAAAGACAAACAAGGAGCAAACACAAATGGTCGGGGTTTGCGGGGACCGTATGCCCCAACCGCCTAAAGCCCTAAATCGCACAGCTTGAAAAACGAAAGACCAACCTCGTGAAGCCCAAACAGCCCATTAACAAGCCCAAAAAACCTTACCCCCCCTCGACGCCCCCTCCCCCCCCCACAACCCTAAACCCTATAATCCCTATAAGCCCTGTAAGCCCTATAAGCCCTATAAACCCTAAACCCTACAAGCAACACCCAAGGCCTGTGTTCGGCAGCGTTGTGCGGCGGGAAAACAACAGCTCTGGTTTCGAAGGCTGCGAAGGAGGGGTCGGGACTCCACCTGTCGTATACAGCGGCTTCACAAGGGGAAAAAGGGGCACAGGCGATTGCCGGAAGTGAATGCTTCCATAAGGGTTTAGGGTTTAGGGTTTAGAGTTTATGGTTTAGGGATAAGGGTTTCTCGGGTTTTCATACGGGGTTCAACGGGTCTCATAGGAGCCTTTACAAGGGTCTCGTACGTGTCCGGAGAAACGAATGCTTGGCTTAGGGTGGCCGGTTCCTTCAACGGGGTCTAGACGAGTAGGGTATGGGGAGTTTAGTGCGGGGCTTATGGCTTGGGGTTTATGAATTTTCCCGGATGTGGAGGCGTCCAGACCGTAAGCCCTAAACCGCACTTCTTGACCCCTGAAGAAATCCTCTACCCCAAAACCCTAAACCTGCAATAGACACCATAGGATTCAGATTCAGCATCCGACTGGTCCGGGGCCAAAGGAGTCTTCATCAGGCTCTTGAAAGACGAACTCATTTAAGTGCCTGTATACTGTTCTACACAGAACAGGCTTCAAGTTTGTAAGTACTATAGTGTGATATGCTTAGTCTGATAGTATACACGTACTTCCATATACATATTTCCTATATTACTGCAGTATATACTGCTACATGATTCATTTATTTCTGTGTTGATATATTGCATACTTGTCTGTTTGTACAACCGGATATTCCTATGCATATTAGTACATACATTGACACACAGAAACATGTTAATATCCTCGTTGATTACTATGTACGATTTCTACACACCGCACTGCACACACACATACACATACATATACATTTACATACACGCATGGATATATTGTGCGCGCATGAATATGAACTGATGTGTGTGTGTATATATATATATACACATTATACACATTATGCATATATGTGAACGTACGTATGTATACAGGCATGCGCATCAATACACAAAATCAGCCCTAAACCCTAAACACTAAAGCTCTAAACCCTAAACCTATACCCTAAACCCTAAGCCCTGATTTTTCGGAAACTCCCACCAGTAGAACACGGACTGGAGCTGGCGATTTATCTCCTCGTAGGTAGGAGTATCCAAGGCTGACGCGATGGCAAGAGGCATGTTGTGAAAGGCTGCTTGTTGCACCATATAAGGCATCCCCCACGCCTCCGGGCCGGATTTCAGAGTGACAGGGTCGGGTGTAGGCTTGGGGTTTGGAGCTTGGCGGTTTAGATTCCCGCCTTGGGGTTTAGAGTCTAAAAAAATCTTAGGGGCTAGCCATGCCTCTGGCCCAGTCACCACCGCAATGCATCTGGAAGCGTTGGATCGGCAAGCAGGTGCCAGCCACCACTTCTCCTATACTGAACTTAGACCACTAGCAAAATCATAATTTTAGCTGCTTCTTAGGGTTTATAGTAGCCAAAGATTAGAAAGTATTTCTAAGTACCCCTAAGTCTCTTCCCAGCACTTCAGACGAGCTAAGCCATTCAGGAACGCGACGCCATCTGAGTCCCCAGTTGCCTGGGCTTTGAAGTAACCAGGGAGAAAAAAGTAGAGACTTTATTTCATAATGGTTCCTTTAGGAACAGGTCCTAAAACAAAGTATTAAAGTATGGTACTCCAAAGCCGAGTTGCACTGAGGTACTGGTTTCCGAGATCCGGCCACTCCACGTAGAGGCTTTGAGAGCAAGGAAGTAGCTGGTCCATGTCAACTGAACCGATGGTAGCCAGGTAGTTCTCCGGATAGAACCAGGAAGCATTGAATGAAAAGAAGTAGGACAAGTCTAGGCCGGTTTCTTCCACGCACTTCTTGCGAGGCTGCTCGAAGATGAACATCCCTTCATAGCCCTCATAGCCCAAGGTTCCCAAGTCTTTTGGGGCAAGATCCCCGAGCTGCTCCACAGCTGTAGACCATTCCGACAAGGTGGTATGAAATTCCATGACCTCCAGAGCAATGTGATAGAAAGATGGGTAGGCACAATTGATACCAGTAGGGGCCATCGAGCAGCCAGCCACACTGAGCAGCTTTTGCAGCTCTGACCCTGTCACGACTTTCGCAACGTTATATCCCAGCACTTCCTCAAGCAAAATTGCAACGAGATCCGCGAGGATCAGATTGAATTGCCAATCTCCGGACGCTATACCAATCGGCATAGAAAAATCACCTGGGCACTTGTCTGGGGCCTTTGTTATAATATAGACCCAATTCAGGGTCCCACATTTTCTGAACCCCCCGCCTACGGTGATATTTGTCCTCTCTTCTGCCGGCGTTGGGCGGGCTAAACAAGTCGACGTCTCGGCGCTCACTAAAGCGATGACGAAAAGACCCGCAATAAAGAATCGAAGCATGAACGTTTGTGACAGCATTTTCCTGGGCTGTTCTTGGAGGGCCCGAACAATATCAGAATCATAATCTTTGTTTGTCCTTCTTAAGACTCAAGAGTATACTACACTGACACTATACTATACTATGCTATACTATACTATACTATACTATGCTATACTTTATACTCTACTACTATGCTAGACTCTGCTGCAACAAAACGCAAGAGCGGCCCAGGTTCGCTCTCATCCAGGCTTCTGCGTCGGTTGATGCTCAACCACATGGGATGCCATGGGATTTGAGGGTTTAGGGTTGATACAGTATCATGGGCTGTGAGGGTTTAGGGTTTATATCATGGGATGTGAGGGTTTGGGGTTAAGGGTCTGGGGTTTATGCAGGGTTTCGGGACCATCAGAATCTCAATTCTCAATGTCTCTTGCTGGACAGGGTGTTGCATAATCCAGGGGCCTGCATTCTTCGAATGGGGGCTTTCAGAGAGTTTCTTAAGGCTTGTACGATAAGGCTTTAAGGGCCTGTGCCACAAAGAACTTGGGTTTTGGGGAGATATCTTATGGTATGATCTGACATGATAGGATACGATATGACATGACACATTATGTGAGGTGAGGTGATATGAGATTATAGGACCTACATACGGACTCTAAGGGTCGCGTAGCCCAACTCAGAACCCCCCGTGGAGGCTCCCCTTGGAGCTTTGGGGTACTTACATGTAGGACCATGTACGGCTTATAGGGTACTGGGTTTAGATTTTGAATTTAGAATTTAGAGAGTACAGGCTTTAAGGCTTGGACTAGACAGGCTTAGGGATTAGGGTTTCTAGTACAACATACCGATAACAGCGCATGTAACACAGTTGCAATATGTCCCCAAACCAAGTACCGAGCACAAGTGCAGGCTTGACTTGTTTGGGAAGCAACGTCTTAAACGCCCCGAACATATACTGTACAAAAACCCAGACCTCCAAAAGGATCTAAAAAATAGATCCCCTAATTAGGGACCCTAACTACTAAAGGGTCCTTTATAGGAACCCCCTTAGGGGATCTATTTTTTAGATCCTTTTGGGGGCCTGGGAAGCCCTTTTTGACTGGGCCCCACCCTTGTTTGAGCCGCTGAGGTCACAGAATCCGGAGACTCCCAAACACCTACAATGATGCTCAGGGTTTAGGGTTTAGGGTTTAGGGTTTAGGGTTTAGGGTTTAGGGTCCTTTTACTAGGGCTGTCAATTGCCGTGGTAAAAGTTTCCGAAAGGTGTTGGCAAATACAAAGCTCCTGGCGTATAGTGTTTTGTACCCTAAACTCTAAACCCTAAACCCCAAACCCTAAACCCTAAACCCCAAACCCCAAAACCCAAAACCTTAAACCCAGAACCCAAAACCCTAAACCGGTTCTTGACTGTGGCCACCAACCCAGATCCCCAAAAGGATCTAAAAAATGGATCCCTAATTAGGGACCTTCACTACTAAAGGGTACTTTATAGGAACCCCCTTAGGGGATCTATTTTTTAGATCCTTTTGGGGGTCTGGGAGATTGTAAGTTGGGAGTCCATGGCTCAATGGGGTTTAGGGTTTAGGGTGCATAGTTTACGGTTTAGGGTTCAGGGTTTAGGGTTTAGGATTTAAGGTTCAGGGTTTAGGGTTTAGGGTTTGGGGTTCAGGGTTTAGGGTTCATGATTTAGGGTTTAGGGTTCATGAATTCAATGTTCAGGGTCATTGCTCAGGGGTTTTGTTTCCGGGGGAAGTTTTGTGTACATACCTCCCCAGACCCCAAATCCTTCTTTCTCCACGAGAACCCAGACCTCCAAAAGGATCTAAAAAATAGATCCCCTAATTAGGGACCCTAACTACTAAAGGGTCCTTTATAGGAACCCCCTTAGGGGATCTATTTTTTAGATCCTTTTGGGGGCCTGGGTTTCTCCACGAGAAGCAACTGTTTGTGCACTCTCAGGATTTCGGCTCGGGCTTCTTGGCTTCATGGGCTTTGGGAGGTGGGGCACCCTGGCACTTCCGGATTCTTGGGTCGAGGGTTCAGGGTTGGGTTTCAGAAACAGGGTTCGGGTTTAGGGTTTAGGGTTTAGGGTTTTAGGGTTTAGGGTTTAGGGTTTTAGGGTTTAGGGTTTATGGTTAAGGGTTCTGGACATTCGGTTTATCCAGCACTGAGCAGAGTTCACTGATTTCGGCGAGAGGAACAGCGAAAGGATACTGAGAACATGATGGAAACTGCCACAGACTCGGACTCCTTCCTCATCAACACTTTCAGCTTGTTGGTTTCGGTACCAGTAGCAGGATAAACTAAACACTAAACAGTAGCGATAGTCGGTCAACTGCACGTGTGCCAGCCGTCTATTGACTGTCTAGGGCAGAAGCCGAATTCCCAGACCTCCAAAAGGATCTAAAAAATAGATCCCCTAATTAGGGACCCTAACTGCTAAAGGGTCCTTTATAGGAACCCCCTTTTTTGGGGATCTATTTTTTAGATCCTTTTGGGGGCCTGGGCTTGGAGACTACACCTAGTCTCTTCCTCCCGGTGTGGCCCAAGCCCCATCTAGAAATTATAAGAACCGCTGGCCACGTACTGTTGATGATATAAATCCTGCATTACCTTTGGGACCCTCAAATAGGGAATTATGGTATATTCATTATTATGTGTGATGCAGGATTTATATCATCAACCGTATTACCAGTAAGCAATCCCCTTTAACACTCAACCTTCAACCCTAAACACCATCAGAGCCCACAAGGCCTCAAGCCCTAAGACACAAAACTATTGTTGATGACATAAATCCTGCATTACCTTAAGGACCCTAAACTATGGGAATTACGGCATTTTCCTTATTATAAGTTGTAACGCAGGATTTATATCATCAACCGTAACCCATACAACCAATTTCAAACCCATGCAAAAACCCAACCCTAAACCCTAAACCCTAGACCCTAAACCCTAAATCCTAAACCCTTAACCCTTAACCATAAACCCTAAACCGTATCTGAAAACCCTACCTTTGCTCCCCGATAGGACCTTCGGCATCTGAGAATGGCGGCCTGCCGGGCGGAGTTTCTAAGTGTGGGGGAGCTTGAACATCTGGGTAGTTTTCTAAATTAAAGTCCCTTTTTAGGTCCCCAATATAGCACGGCACCCTTATAAACCGGACCCCCCAAGGGACCCTAATTGCCCTAATTTAGAGAACTACCCATCTGCATTTTCATAGCTCGTATCGGGCCTGGGTGTGTAGTGTTTAGGGGTTTAGGGCTAAGACATGAAAATTCCGAGCTGCCCCGGTTCTTCACCGACTTACACTCACAAGTGGAGAGGCCTGGAATACTTAGAAGGCTTTAAGATGCAAGAGCTTCAGGATCCTCTAGGGAGGCCTGTTGAAACTATCCATTCCCCAGTTTATTGCGAAACCAGGGGTCCTGGGTGTTCGTTCAGTCAACTGAAAAACATGCGGCTGCAGCGACGGAAGAGTGCTGATTGAATAAACCATACTTGGACGATCATGGGACCTAGTAAGTAAGGTTATAAGTCCCCTAATTGGGGTTATAAGTATAGTTACCTTAATTATAAACCTACTTACTAAGTCCCATGATCCCTTAAGTAATAAACCCATAGTGACAGCTTCTGCAGGGGCCTCAATAGTTCAATAGGGCTTGGAGGTGTAGTAATCATATCACTAAAGTTATATATGTAAAGACTCGTAAAGACTGATAGGGCATACCATCGTCAATGATTCCGACACCATATTATGTGTGCTCAAGCAGGGCTTTACCTCGCAAACTAGAGCAGCCAGAGTTGGTTCACGAATGTTTGCAGGTGGGAATCATTCTGCCGTGTTCTGTGGCCGAGTTCCACCACGGGGCACGCGATCGCATCGACAGGGATCTTCAAATCACTATGCAACAGAACCGACATGCGGAGACATCTTGCCGTGCAGTGCAAGGCGCTTCCTGGATGTGCTGATTGCTCTCCTTCTTCTGCATCGACAGCTAAGTCGAACGTTTGCTAGCGACTGAGGTTGCAGGGCAGGCAGGTGCAGCAAAGACTCTACAGAGAACATGAGCCCAGTCCAAGCGCTGTAAGGAGACCGGTGGAACGCAGGAAACAGACGACATTTTTCTGTTTTTCTCGAGACTTTGAACCTCACAAGCCGTTGCCTGAGCTTGAGCCATCATATACGGGCCCTTTACTGTAAGGGTTACGACTACGATAAAGGTTACTAGAAGCGTTAGCTTAAGGGCCTCTGTTCTGGTTGATCAGTACAAGTACGATGAATACGAGAATGGTTCATATCATCACAAACGCAGGGCCGATTCTAGCAGGCAAAGGCGTTGAAATCCTGGCAGTCATACGCGCCTTGGCAACAGCAAATAATAATTACAATATCTGCAGCAGCCTGAGTGATGATGAGGATAGAAAATCAAAGTACACCCCTCATTGAATGCAGAAGCGGAGCTTTTTTGGCAGGTCGTCAGCAGCGCCATTCGGCCAGCTGACCAGCAGCTTGCGCTTCCCAGGCCTCTTTTGCCTTGCCCATCCATTGACATGCCAGGGCATCGGAGCTCAGATCGTTCTTGTACAACAGGGCCAGGTACCACATGGCAGAAGTGCTACCCCTCGCAATGGCCAGCTCGTACAGCTCCTTGGCCTTGTGGAAAGCTGCAGCCCCTTGCATGAAGGGGGAGTATGGAGCCGGATTCTTAAAGTCGCGAGCAACGGTCTGGTACATGTGCGCAAGGCTAGCGGCGGCCTCTGCGCTTCCCCTTTCGATGCCCATCTCATAGAGTTCCTTGGCCTTGTCCCAATCCTGGTAGACTCCGAGACCATCGCGGTACATGTGCCCAAGGCTTTCTGGGGCCAGGTCGTCACCTCTTTTGATGCCCAGCTCATACAGCTCTTTGGCCTTCTGGAAATCTTCCGCGACGCCTTGACCGTTCTGGTACAAGAATCCAAGGTTGGTGGGGGCTCTGGACCATCCCCTTCGCATGCTCAGCTCAAAAAGCTCCCGCGCCCTCTTAAAGTCGCGGGCGACGCCGTTGCCGAAGTAGTACATGCTCCCGAGGCTACAGGCAGCAGCGGAGCCGCCCCGCTCGGTGCCCATCTCATACAGGTCTTTCGCCAGCTGGAAGTCTTTAGCCACACCCTGCCCAAACTGGTACATGGTCCCAAGGCCAAAGGGGGCTGTAGCGTCACCCTCTTGCATGGACAGCTCAAACAATTCTCGTGCTTTCTTAAAGTCGCGAGCCACCCCAAGGCCGTACTGATACAGGTGCCCAAGTGCATAGCGCGCACCTCTGTCACCCCTGTCGATGCCAATCTCATACAGTTCTTTGGCCCTGCGAAAGTCTTGCGCGACGCCTCGCCCACTCTCGTACAAGAATGCAAGCGCGGTAGGGGCCAGGTCGTCACCTCTTTTCATGGCCAGCTCGTACAGTTCTTTGGCCTTCTGGAAATCTTCCGCGACGCCTTGACCGTTCTGGTACAAGAATCCAAGGTTAGTGGCGGCTCTATACCATCCCCTTTGCAGGCCCAGCTCAAAAAGTTCCCGCGCCTTCTGAAAGTCGCGGGCCACCCCGACGCCGCGGGAGTACATGTGTCCAAGCCAACAGGGAGCGGCGGCGCTGCCCATTTCGATGCCCATCTCATAGAGTTCTTGGGCCTTTTTCACGTCTTTCGCCACACCTTGTCCAAACTCGTACATGCTTCCAAGGCTAGAGGGGGCTTCGGCGTCGCCCTTGGCCATGGCCGTCTCAAAATGTTCCCGTGCTTTCTGAAAGTCGTGAGCAATCCCGCGGCCGTACTGGTACATGCTCCCCAGTGAATAGTGAGCGGCAGCGCTGCCCTTTTCGATGCCAATCTCATACAGTTCTTTGGCCTTCTGGAAGTCTCGGGCGACACCTTCCCCACGCTCGTACAAGATTCCTAGCATGATGAAGGCATGTACGTCTCCTCTTTTGATGGCCATCTCGTAGAGTTCCTTGGCCTTGTGGAAATCTTGGGAAACACCCTGCCCCTCGTGGTACATGCTTCCAAGACTGGCAGGGGATCGGTCGGATCCTCTTTGCATGCTGAGTTCAAAAAGCTGCCGAGCCTTGTGGAAATCGCGGGCGACGCCAAAGCCGTAGCGGTACACATAACCGAGGTTGTGGAGAAAGGTAGCAGCATTGGGATCCAGGAGATGCAGGGTTTGGCAACTTCTAAGGCTGAGGTCCTCTTGGCCACAACCAACGTAATGCCATGTGGTGGTCTCCTGAAACTTCAGCTTGCTCACAGGGGACAGCAAGCGCGCCCTCTCGTAGATGACGGAAGTTGCCGCGTGCATGTCAGCAGATGTGATGGCGGGGTGCGTGAAAAGGATCTTCACCTGAAGCCTGTCACGGAAGGCTTGAACAGCAGCTTTCAGCTCGCTTCTGTAGAAGACAGTGTCGAAGAGGGTCTTGTAAGACCGTCCTTCCTGCATGAGGTAGCCGATCGCGACGGTGACGTCTTGGGACCTCGCCGCCCAGGTGCTGGCGAACTGCCGGGATGCACCAACCCAAAACGCTTTCACCTCCAGGGCCAAGAGAAGCGAAGCGAAGGGTTGCGCAACAAAACAAAAAGGGGTGTGGACGTGTTCAAGGCCGGCGCAAGGTATACACAAACCGCTTCCGGCCTTCGCAAGGCTGCAAGACTTCAAGGTGTTCACCCCGGGAGCGTTCAGCAGCTGACCGAGCCGGGTGTCCGGATCCTCCTCTCCGAACTCACAGCTTATCTCCAAAAATCCCCATGTGGGAGTTTCCGAAAATTAGGGTACCCTATTTGGGGGTCCTTATAATAAGGATCCTACTATCTAGGGTACAATATTAAGGTCCCCTATTTTCGGAAACCCCCATGTAGAGACATAGAAGCTACATAGAACTGCCCATCACGCCGAGACTACAAAACCCTTCAATCAAGGAATATACAACAAGAGCAAGAGATTTGGGGTACATTCTGTAGTTCAGGGCTGTGTAAGCCGTATAGGAAGACTCTCTGAAGCCCAACCTGGCTGTGTAGGACGCAGCCACCCTGTTGCCGCAGCGGCCGAAGGACCCCTTCCCGCTCTTCATCTTGATAGCCGCTCCAGAGCAGGAGGTGCGTCTTATCCTGAGGCTTATACTGGGCTTTGAAGTAACCAGGGACAAAAAAGTATAGACTTGTATTTCATGATGGTTCCTTTAAGGAACAGGTCCCCAAAAAAGTATTAAAGTATGGTACTCCAAAGCCGAGTATAAGAAGCCGAGACTTCGTCCAACACACGGCCCTTTCGATGAGAGGAGCGTTGGTCTTGGGGTACGGTAGTTTCTGGTTATTTAAAGGCACTTGCAGGGATGTTAACCAGTCATGCACATTTAGACCCTCCACTTACCCTCGCATACACCCTAAATGCCTACAATTCGGGGCCCATCTACCCCCAGTTGTTTAGGCTAGAGCGAGGGTCCTGCGACCAACCGCACAAGCGGCGTTGCGATGAGAGGAGTTTAGTCTGTTGCACCCGAGGAACTGCAACATTTCCAAACACTGGTAACGTGCTCGGAAGAGCGCAAAACTGGCGAAGACAGGCACACCGCGTTGCGTGGACTGGCTAGCGGCTAGTGGTGATACTAGGTATACAGCCCTAATACAAAGGTTTCGCCCGGCGAAGCCAGCTAATATTGGTGCTCATTGCTCTTACTCAATGGTACCGGGTCTTGCAGCCCTCGAGAGACTAAACCCCCTAACCTCAAACCCTAAAACCCCCTAAAAAAATCCCTACAGCCTGCCTAACACAAGGCGGCGAGGAGCTGGATCGCAAAGTAGCAGCCCCTGGCTCCAGACCTCGTAGTCCCCGTCGTTGACGACGGCTTCCGCCTATCAGGAGAGGGGTGAGAAAAGAAAACCCGTAAGTACCCCTCAACCCTAAACCCTAACCTATACATATATATATATATATAATATGTATATATATATATATATAATATGGTCCAACGTCGTCGTGTCAGTGGCGCCCCCGTATGCCCCCCATCCCACAGCAGCAAAGCCGGATGGTGCTCGTTCGCGTCATCGTAACTGTCGACGTTCTTTTGCAACTCTCGCGCAAGATCGCGAACCCCCGCCCCCCTCCCCACACAGATGAGAATGATGGAGATGATGCTGAGGACCGTGATGATGATGATGTGCTTCTTGCATGCTGATATTCCGAGTGACTGTTGGTAGCACCACTGCTCTTATGCTGTTCTACCCTTAGGTCACGCATGTTCTTTGCATTTGTGTGTTTGAAAAGCTTGTTTGGCTTGATGTTCTTTCGTAGATTTTCGCAATTTATATCGACCGCTCTCGTTCTATGCTCAGTGGCGGTTGGGTGCGTTAAGAGTCAGCCCGAACATGTGCTCGAATGTTCAGGAGTCTCGAGCAAGGAACCGGAGGAGCGTGAGGGGGTAACCCACACCACAGGGAACCACAGGG